CCTGTCATATGTGATATAGAGACTGAAGGTTCTACATGATTACATTTACCACCCCAAAATTCTCATATATAACTCATTCTCTACATAATGTTCCTTTCATTGAAGTTAAGAAAAATAAACCAATCATTTGGAAATAAAATCATTTTTTTTTTCAGCCTAGCCCAAGAAAATCCAGTCATAGCCTCTCTGAGTTAAGCTTTCCTTTTGCCTTTTCCTGATACTGTATCATTTATTTTTTTTTTCATTAATTTGCAAAGAATTTGAGAGAAAAAAATTAAGGAGAGAGGGCAATAAAAGAACAAGAATTAAAGAAACAGAAAATAACAATTGAAATACATTAAAATTTTTGAAAAGCAAAATTGATTAGAAAGTGAGAAGCTGGAAAAGCTTTCCACAAGAGAGAAGGAACTGTTAGCATAGAATAGATGGTTATATCTAGTAATTTCAACAGTAAAATGAGACCTGGCTGCCATTCTAGTATTGTGATTAATTAAGTCAACATATCAAAGAGAATAATTACCATAAAAAATGTTTATAGAAAAGCACAGGGAAGCTACATTATGGTCGTAAGAAAATGATTGAAATCAATTTACCAGCTTAGGACCAATATTGCAGGTTCTTCTTTTGTATTTTATCAAGAATTTCTAAATACATAGCAAAAGCACCAGACCAAATGTAACAGCAATATTCAATGCACTGAAATGGTAGACCGACTTATAATGGCATAAAATTCTGGTTAGAAAAATTGTCTGGCATGACACAGTGAAAAACCAGCTTATGTCCACTCAGGTCTGAAAAACTGAAAGATTTCATTTTTTTAAATAAAAAAGGTGGCAGCAACTAATCATCTAATTTCTTATAATCTGTAACAAATATAGAGATGGAATAATGTAATAGCCTAATTTGGAGAAATGTGTAGTAAACAAAAAAAAAAAAACAAAAAAAAACAGAAATCTAGCTATTTCTCAATGGGAGGAGTGCTACTTGAGGCCAATTGTTTGCTGAACATGGCTACCAATTGCATTTTACACACACACACACACACACATATATATAACACCCACCTCAACAACAGAGCTGTCACTGCTCTCTTAGTAAGTACAACCCTCTTGTAGAAATACTCTAGGCCAATCTGGAATATGCTCATGAAGCACCCAGTTTCATTGAGGCACTTTGCGGAATATGCTCATGAAGCTCCCAGTTTCATTGAGGCACTTTGCGGAATATGCTCATTCCCAGTTTCATTGAGGCACTTTATGGAATATGCTCATGAAGCTCCCAGTTTCATTGAGGCACTTTATGGAATATGAGCTCCCAGTTTCATTGAGGGGAATATGCTCATGAAGCTCCCAGTTTCATTGAGGCACTTTGCGGAATATGCTCATGAAGCTCCCAGTTTCATTGAGGCACTTTGCGGAATATGCTCATGAAGCTCCCAGTTTCATTGAGGCACTTTGCGGAATATGCTCATGAAGCTCCCAGTTTCATTGAGGCACTTTGCGGAATATGCTCATGAAGCCCCCAGTTTCATTGAGGCACTTTGCGGAATATGCTCATGAAGCCCCCAGTTTCATTAAGGCACTTTGCGGAATATGCTCATGAAGCCCCAGTTTCATTGAGGCACTTTTGCGGAATATGCTCATGAAGCCCCAGTTTCATTAAGGCACTTATGAATATGCTCATGAAGCCCCCAGTTTCATTAAGGCACTTTGCGGAATATGCTCATGAAGCCCCCAGTTTCATTAAGGCACTTTGCGGAATATGCTCATGAAGCTCCCAGTTTCATTAAGGCACTTTGCGGAAATGCTTATAATCCCTAATCCATTACATAAGAATCAAATGGAAGGATCCCTGAAATGGCAGATTGCAAAATATATCATCCTGTCCAAGATACAGGATTTGAGCTTTCACCATTTCAAGATTTCTAGTGGATCTTTGCAAGATAAATAGATGCCTAATCATCAAACTAACTTTAAGATTATACTTACCTATGGAGAGTTCTACATTTTATTGACTGGTCTTTCAAATGCATTAACATTATGCACAGAATTTGAATTTAGAGGATTAAAAAAAAACTCTGAAAAAGTATATACAATAAATTAAAAAGGATGAACCAAAATTACAATTTAAATCAAATTCCAATGAAACAAAATCTAAAACTATTGATTTTAAGAATATTTCGTTGCCCTGCTGATAAAGTAAAAAATATAATTATGCATATGTATTATACAAAATAAAATACAAATATAGAGAGGTAGTGCCTTATGTAATCCAGGATTAAAGGGAGAAATACTGGTTAGCAGTATTTAAAGATATACTATCAAAGGAAAAAAGATAATTGAAAAATCTGTTATATTCTGTGCTAATAGGAATATATACTTGAAAAACAAGGTGGATAAAATAAGTAAAGGTTTATTGTAAAAAAACCAATACAATAAGAATAAAGATAACAGTTATGCACAAAGTCAATCCAGTAGTGAGTACTACTATTGGAAGGTCGGTAGTTCTCGCATAAGTCTGAGTCATACTCAACAGATCCGAGCTAGTCTCTGTAGTCTGTTGACTTACAGATACTTATAGGTAGTTACTACCTATAGTGTAGTCACTCATAGGGGTGACAGGTTATTCCATTACATTATTCCTATTATCCATACTTTTTTTCTTCATTTACATACAGAAAAAAAATCTTGGCGTAAAATACATTTAAGGTTATTATTAAAGTGGATCCACACAAAAACAATTCCAGAGTTTGTACAACTACATGTTGATCATTCATTCAACAGTTGTGTAGTTTGCATCATAGTAAGTTAAAAAGAAAAAGAAAAGAAAAAAAGCTTAGCTACATTAGTTGAATAAAAATATAAAAGCCCCCAAGTCTATTCTGTGTTTCTTTTGTGCAACAAAAACTATTTCTTGTTTGCATTTCTATACAGACAACAGCATTCTGTACAATAGCTGGACAAAGGTGAAGTACCAAAACACTCTCCCAAAGCAAAGGTTCATCAGAATGTGTTTAAGGTCACCATCCAGTAATCAGTAATAGAATGATCCATTAGTTCCTGAATCCTGACGAAACCATTACAGCATACAACTATTGTCAGGAAATCTACAAAATGCAATGTTTACATTCAACATTGATCAATTGAAAAGACTTTCTCCATAACATCTGACTATAGAAAGTAAACAAACTGGGGTACAAAACTACCTTACCCATCTTTCTCACATCTCTCTCTTAAAAGTAAATAAAACCTGAATGATCATTCTTTTGAAATGAGTTACAAAAGTTCTGTAAAATATTGGACTGGAAAGAAAATCTAATATTTAATTAAATAAAATTCTCTCTTAGTTTTTTTTTTTTTTAACTTTATCTTATAAATGCTGCTTATGTCACTTAAGTACTAAATATGTGGTTACACATTTATTACTTCCAAATTGACCCAAGAGCAAATGGATGATGGTTAGCCATGAAAGCTAAATGGAAAATTGCAGAATAAGAGGTTTGGTTTATTTTGTTTTATGGCATATCAACTTCAATAAAAATTTTTATTGCTGGTAACATTTTCTTTTGTCAAATATCTGTTTATGGTAATATACTTCCTTATTACTGGTAATAATTTTTTTCAAAAAAGTATTGCTGGTAATAGTTAACTATTTGCCCATAGCTGGGACCCTATCAGGTGCTACCACCCCCAGTCAGGGTGGATCTGGGAACACCAGAAATTAAGAGGTGGTTTCATACTCCTCAAAACCTTCTGATCAGAGGCCTTGCTGCTGGACATAGTTTAACGTCTTACCCAGGACGCAGATATAGTTTAATGTCTTATCCAGGACAGGCAGAATAAGAGGATTTTTTTTACTCAATATTACCAAAAACAGTAAATAATATTACAAAGTGATTATTTTTCAGAAGTGAGTTCCTTTGTCAGGACAAATGAAAATATACTAAAAACAAATTTATTCTAACAAAATTTAATTTATTTTTTACTTTTTAATTAAATTTTTATTTTTTTAATATAACAAATAGATGTATCACCCATTTGTAAATGATAACAGAACCAAAATGTTCATAGTGGTATAAAATGCTTACTTGTAATTCAGTTCGCACATTTTCCAAACATCAAGAGACAAGATACTGATGTTTAAAAAGTATAAAATTAGATATTTTATGCTAAATGCTATATTGGGTAAAGAAATCGGAGAGTACTCTTAATACTCATGTAATTAGGGAGAGGCTTAGCAACAAAATATTAAATTTTGAAGGTTTTAATATTAACACTATTACATCATTATGTGCCAAAACCTTTCAAGAGAGACAATGATCATTATACTGTTTTACATTATTCTAGCTAAAATATTTTAAATGAAAGCAACCAGCACAAAACTAAATATTTTGCAGATTAATTATTGCACATTTTACAAAATTTATATTAAAATAAAGATAAAATTTTATTCATATTTTTTTTTTAAATTAGAAGTAAAAATAATATACAGAGGCAGTAGCAAAGAGAAAACTACAATTCTGGTGTAACATACACAAAAGAATAATTTTTTTTTTTTTAGTTAAAAAAAAAAAAAAAAAAAAAAATATTAGATAAGCAGTTGAATCTCTTCAGAACAAAAAGAAAATAAATTTCAAGAGGAATATATTAAGTTAAACAGATGAGATGTTGTTGGTGCCCTGAGGTTTCATTTTCAATCTCTATAAACAAAAATACAAATATATCAAAGAATTTCACAGGTGAACCTGTTACATTATTTATTTCATTATTATGGAATTTGAATTCAAAATTAAAGAAATATTTAATATAAAGAATAAACTGAAAGATGAAAATGTATTATATATATAAGAACTAGAGTGAAGAGAAATAAAATCTTGAACAAAAAGTATCATTTAAGTCATTATATATATATATATATATATATATAAAAATGAAAAAGATTTATTCATTGATAACTGTCCCTGAAAGTAACATTTTTTAGGTTTCCCTTCGTTTTAGCTATTATTTGTTACTTTCTTCCACTGAGATTTTCTCCTCAATTTTTTCATACACGTCATCTGCCGGCTCAGCATTTTTGTTGGCATCAGGCACCCACAAACCTGAGTCTACACACATCTTCATGTAATGTTCTGCTTCTTTAGGATCCATCTTTTTTATTGTTTCTGTTAATTTCTGGATATCTTTGGTTTCAAAGCATTCTTGAAGATCCTATACAAATCAAAGAGAATCAAAAATAAAGAAATAAGCAGTAAAATTACCAAGTAAACTATTTCAATAGAATAAAATTTTGTTTTGACTATGAAGTGTGTATGAGGGGAAGGGGGGGGAACTGGAATACAGAAAATGATGCCATGTGAATAGCACACCCCACCATCCATGATTTTGAAACTAATAAAACAACTTGGTTAACAAATTTATATTTGATTACTTTATTTACTTGCTTTGATAAGGCAAGAACTGTACTCCAATAACAGTTGGTGGTGAATAAGAGTTACTAATTGCATGAATAAATTGTTCAGTAATTAAAATACAGCTAGTGTAATCTAGTTTATTAAAATCCCATTGAACAATCTTTTTTTTTTGTCTTAGCAAATACAAAGTAAACAAGAGTATTTGTACTTATAAGATTTTGCATAGGCAAGACTGAAATTAAACTAAAATTTATCATGGTAAAATGATTATAGTTGTTCCTGCCTTATAAGGCAGAAATAAATAACCCTTACTTTTGGCAGCTGCTCAAATACTTCAACAGGATCCAAGCCACCTGGTCCTAACCTTTTCTGTCTTTCCTCCTGAAAGAAAAAATGAACTACTTCAAAAGTTGAAGTGGATAGAATATTACAGAAAAGAGAAAAATCATTTCAGAATTATATTTAGTAAAATTTAGATTTTCTCAAAAATATCTAGTTTTTTTAGTAATACATTTCTGCCCATGACACTAAATCATTAAATCAATACTTACAAATGCCGTAAAATATAAAAAAAATATTTTAAATACTCTCAAAGTAAAAATTGAATGTAAAATTTCTTAGTTTTACAACATTTATTCAGCAGATATTTACCAAATATTTGCCACAAAACATTCACCTGAGAACAAAGGTTTATTCATAGCAAGCTTGTTAATCTTCACTTCACAGCATATTCTCACATTTCATAAAGTTTAGTAAAACAAGCTTAGGCAATGGGGAACTTAACCAAATAATCTTTTGAGAAAAATGTGAGAGAAGAAAAAAAGAAAAAAAAAAAAAGAAACAGTAATATCATTAGGGTTTCCTATATATATATATATATATCTATCACAGCTGTTTGAGGGTTCCTATAGCCCTACTAAGCTTAAATAAAGTCAATTCAGGTCTGCTATGATAAGAATTTTCTATCCCAAGTATAAATCATTACAAAAGTCATTTTGTCACAGCCTATTTTCTCTGAAAAAAAAAAAAAAAAAAAAGATATTCATACTTTTATAGTGGTAAGATAAGGTAAAATATTGAAAAATGACAGTTTTGTCATCATCTGAATAAAATATCAAGGAAACTTTTGATCTAAACCCCATGAAACTAGGGATTTTCTAAAAGCAAACAGTATGTTCTTTCATTTAAAAATTAAATTGGCTGGTGTAATTGAGTCAAAACAATTTTTCAGGGGGTAAAATGTGAAAAACAATAGTGAAAATTTTGCATTTTTTTTATAGTTCTAAACAAAAAATTTCCACAATAATGGGAAATTAACCTCTTTTCTTTGAAAATCAGAAAGCCTAAATCATAAACAATTTCTGCCATTAAATTGAGAGTTTGAAGCAAAACAAAATTCTCAGGGGGTCAAAAATAAGGCAAAATCTTCAAAAATTTCAATATTTCAATATTTTAGTCCATTATCTGGTGAAATGTCAATCATAATTCCATGAAAGTTGTTATTTTCTGAAAGCAAACAGTATGTTCTTTCATTTAAAAGTAAAATTGGCTGGTGTAATTGAGTCAAAGAAAATTTTCAGGGGGTAAAATATGAAAAAAATAGTGAAAATTTTGCATTTTTTTATAGTTCTAAACAAAAATTTTCCACAATAATGGGAAGTTAACTTTTTTTTTTTTTTTTTGAAAATCAGAAAGCATAAATCATAATCAAATCATAATTGGAAACGGTCAACTATATGCCACTTTCTAAGGTTTTTTTCTTTCAAGTCTGTGAGACACGAATCATTTTGAGATTGTGTGACAAAACACTGTCACCAAAAAGGTGCTTAACAGCACAAGGCATCAAAGGAAGAAATGCATACAAGTCAAGAATTTTTGATTTTTAGAAAAAAAGAAACTTTTCAATTTGAATGTTTTTATGACAAATATTATTTTTAGATTCTAGAAGAAAAAGACTTCAATGAGGCAGATGATGATCCTGCTTGAATCAAGTCAATGCAGCTTCACACTCAGTTAAGAGGATCCGGATGTAGAGGGTTCATTCAGACAAGAACAAAATCTTCCCAAAAATTTGACATGGCCTTCATTTAGTTTTCATGTGTATCCTCAGTTACATACAAGGAATATATTTTACATGAAAATGCTGACCCACTAATTTTTGGAGAACAGACAGAGAAATGAAATTTCATGCTCTTGTCTCCTTTGTCACCCGAAAAAAGGATAAAAACTTTGCCTGCTTGACCGAAACAGTCACTGTCTTTTTGCAGCATGCTCTGAATTCTTTGAGTCATATATTCAAGCAGATTCTTCACCTGGGACACTGGAACCTCCACAAGTTTTCTTTCATCATCACACTTATTTTTTGTGTCCATTAGTACAATTTTGGTTTCAAGTTCACTTTCAGGGCAAACAAGAGTTTTCTCATGAGAACGCATGGATAATTCTGAAGGAAAAATTGTAATTCCATAGGCTGCCAGGGTGGTTTTCAGACGTCTCAAAGTTGCCCAAGGAAAATCAAGACAAAGTCTAAGGTTTACCACCTGAACAACTGTTAAATGCAGCCAGATTTGAAACATTTAGCTACAGAATTTTGGAAAACATCATTTTTGTGGTGTTGAATGTGGTATCCAAAAAGCAAACCAATTTCATGTAAATAAGTTTCTTCGTCAGTGTCTTTTTCATCGACGCTGGAAATTAATGCTGAGACAATATGCAACATCTTAGCTCGGAGATGCAAATTCTTAGATGTTATTTTAGAATTAGTTTTCTGTGCAACAGGTAAAGAAATAAAAATTCTGTCCTTATGGCTTTCATCCCAAAAAATAGAGCTGGAATAGCCATCCACTGGGGAAAACTGATTTTTTGGGATCAAAACTAAATTGCTGATTTGGACCTTCTTGGACTCAAATCTATTAACCATTGTTGCATTCAAGTCCTCAATGCCTTCCACATCACCAAAATTTTTGAGGCAGAAATTTTCTTGATTGAATCCTGGAGCATTTTCGATTTTTTCTGAAGGGCCTGAGTTGTCCGTTGTTTTGCAGATAATTGAACGGAATATTTTCTCTTGAGGCTCTTATTTTCAGCTTTAAGATTGGCAATCACCTTCTCATAATCAGAAAGAGACTGTTGTAAAGAAAGATTTTGGTTCTTCAAAATTTTTTTTGCCGGGGCTTTTATAATTTGATTGGCCTGGTCTCAGTGGAGTGGATGTAGAAACTGACAAAAAATCAGCCATGCTTTCAGCTGAGGATGAAATAGAAGTAGAAAGCAATGAATTATCACCACTTTCAGGACCACTAACTGAAAAAACTTCAACAGAAGAAGAATCTGTAAAAGATGGGAAAACTTTTAAAATATTAAACTTCTCACCACAGAAGACAATCTTCTTAGCAGCAGTCTTGGCACATTTCCTGAATGCAACAACAAATGATTTGAGCCCGTTGAAATTTGCCTTGACTGTGTCAGGAACTCCATACAAACGATGCAAAACAGCTACAAGAGATTCCTCATCCAAAAATTTTGACCATAATGACCATACAATTTCGTTGATAATTAATGGCGCATTGGCTACAGAGGTTATGGAAAAATCATCAAAATAACCATGGGGCAAGTCCAAGGAAGCAATAATATCCTCTATGGTTAACATAGTTGAAAAATATCATGCACACCATCTTATTTCAGCAACAACTGTACGCAAAATGCGATAAAGTACATTTGTAATTTTCAAATATATATAGGGGTTAAAAGAAATTTGACACGAGTTCAACCCCCCCCCCCATAGCAGCTCAGCGATAAGGAAGGGTTTATCAAAAGCCAAATTGTCTTTGGACAAAGAAATAAAAAACTCTCAAAGCAATAACAAACAATATAAACTGTATCATTTAGCTGATGGAGATGATGAGGTGGAGATAAGCCCCATTCACTTAACAAGTATGTGATGACCATTTTAGGTTTTGCAGTGGCTTATGTTTTTCATCACTATGTGAGAAAGTCCAGATTGTTTGGTATCAGTTAAAGATGTGAAAAAAGAAAGTGGCCCCTTGAGACCTCGCTTGATGTGGAGGATTAACACCTGCGATGAGAAAGTCCGGACTTCTTTTGTTTTGATTTTTCATGTCTGTCGGTGTATGCACGTGTGTGTTGAACTGTTAGTGAAAAAAAATTAAATAAGTGGACCATTGTTTTTTTTTTATCTCATAATAGGCCTGTTTTTTGGGGTTTTTTTTTTATACCTATCATTAATTCTAAAATAGCTGGATAAAGATAAACAAACAAAAGCAAGTTATCTTTTTTAATATCGTAAAAAGTTTTTAAAGTTTTCCTGATTTAGAAAAAAAAAAAAAAGTAATGTTTTCGTTTTTTTTTTCTGCTTTTCTTTAAAACATATCCCCATTTTTATTTTTAAAAATGAATTAATAAATAAATAACTCAACTGCACTTTTATTTCGAGGGTAACCGGCCTGGGTGACAAAAACACTAGCAGATGACACTGTTTTTTTTGTTATATACCTTTCATATTTCCCATCGCCGGGTCATATAGTAGTTCATTTTATTCAATGATATTTACACCAACTTAAAGACAAAGGATTGAAGTTTGAAAAAAAAAAAATTGTTTTGAAGTGAAAAAAATTATTTCTTAAATAAGAAAAAGTGGTTTTTCATACAAAATTGACCATATTTTTTTTAATGCTAACCCCCGAGTGACATTTTTCACAGCCAAATCGAAGATTTATTACCAGTGAATAATTCCATGTGTAAAAATTAGCCATCTGGATCCTATAACGTCGCCCGAAAAGGTCCAGAAGTTTACTGATTGATCCAAAACCTGTTGCGCATAATTGGTTTTCACAGTCAGTTTCCATTATTTCATCTTGATGTTGTCATTTTCAGACAGTTTGGCACAGGTTTGCTTTGAGAACTTTACATCCTATGAAGTGTTTAAAATGTTACTGACGAATGGGATTTTTTGCCGAACATTTTGTTTACGCGCCATATTGGATTTCCTATATGACAAAAACAAGGGTTTTAAACAGCCGTGACAATAAATTTTTTTCCTTCTTGAGATTTTATATATATATATATATTTTAAAGCCATTCATTAAAACAGTTGTTTCCAAATAGTGTCTAACCTCTTCAATTTGTCTTTTGGCTTCATCAAGCCTCTTTTTAGCCAAAGCCCGCACTCTGTTTTTAAATGCATCCAATTCTTCATTGAATGATGTCATGTACTGTTGACGGTCAGCCAGAGATTCACAACTGGACATTCTAAAATGAGAGAGATTAGTAAATTAAAAAAAAAAAAAAAAATTAAAATACAGTGTGCATCTAGCAATACTGGTAATAGATGTTTTCAAAATCCATAACTCATATAAATCTGTTAAACATCTGTCCTAAAAGGTACTTTTTAAAATGTTTCTTTTGACTTATTACAAAATTGAAAGATAAGAATATAAAATCCCTTCCTGGAACACAAACAATACTTCAAAGAGATTCTGCTTAAAAACAAAGGTAGAATAACAAACATCAGAAAGAAAATCCTAGATATGATGCAACCTGAAACCAACTTCCCACCCAAAGTCGAAATACAAATCTGAACATACAAGGATAAACAGTTCAGGTATAAAGATGAACATAATTTAATGTTTAGTTTCAAGATTACATTGATTCAGAAGAATAAAGAATTAAACCCTGAAGTAATTTGAAATTATCACTACTGACATTTTCAAAACTCAAGATTCTTTTCATAATTATTCAAAAATTCAAGGCCTTTCATGTCCCAGGTTTTAAATTCCAGATTTTTCAATGTCTTTTTTGTAATAGTGCATTAATGATATACAAGCAATTTTGTATGTTGTTTGATCTATAAGTAATGATAAGCCATAGGATATGAGCACTGGGTTAAAGCACTATATAAGCACTGGGTTAAATAGAGATACTTGATATTCCAAATTTATACTAATTTGGTCATTAATGATGTAGAGTAGGACAAGAAGAGTGTCAATAAGAACACCACCCTTTCATGAAATAGACTAACTCAGCCACGTGCAAGACATGGTACGCATGTGAACAATGCAAATATAAACAAGGCTAGCAAGAAGTCTGGGAAAGTGGACAGATTACAACCATCACTCAATCACTCAACAAATGATTCTTTCCATTAAATGTTAAGAATCAAAATTGATATGAATGTGTAACACATGACTGGATCAGGACATCCACATAGAAGTGAACTGTAAATGATTTTATCTGAGTCTATTAAGTTTTTGATGTTTTTATGACTAGCAGTGGAATTTACAAAAGCAGTTACTCAGTGAATAAAAGGAAGAAAAAATAAATAGATAAATAAAAACTTTTACAAACAAGTGTCATTTGGCCATAAGTTAGAGTTCCACTGCCACATATTGGCAGGATATTGTTCCATACTAACTATTAAGGAGTTCCAAGCCATGCATCATGGTGTAGCAATGAGTAGGGAAATGGTAGGAGAGCTAGTTCTAACCAGCCAAAAGAAAAATCTCATCTACTAGTATGTTGTGACAGAAGTAGATGTTCCATGTCATCTACCCACCCTGTCTACCAGACTGTACAAGTGAATCCCTGAATGAACAATCAAGTATATTGGAAATAACACTTGCAGTTTTATTTCTTGCTTTGGCATTAATTTCATCCTTTGTTTCTTTGTGAATGTACAACAGCTTTCCTAGTTGTTGTGTACTTCAACACAAACAAGAAAATTAGGGCAATTTGCCCAGTATGTGGAAAATAGAGAGTATATTCATAGCAGTTTCATAGTCTTTTTTTTTGAAAATGCTGAAATTCACTGCTTGAACATAAAATCAATACAAAAAACCTTATAAATCAAATAACTAAGTCTGCAATGTATACATCAAGTTATTCAAACCATAGCCATCATAAGGGAAAAAAAAAAGTTTAAATACCCACCCAGAAAGAACTTACCTATTAAAGAAAGCTTGAACACAATCACGTGGATCTTTCTTCATATGTTTGGAGAGTTCCAAAATAAATTGCATCACAATTGTTTGGTAAGCAACATGCTCCATCAACGTTTCTTTCTGGAAATGAAGACAAATAGAAATGTAAGTGTTATTTACCTTTTTTAAATCTATAATAGATGTGCAGTGCTTCTTCCTCCTCCAATATTTAAATAAAGAGTTTGTCAAGTGTAGTCCAAACATATGTTAAAACTTGGAAAAGAAAGCAATAGAGAAATAATGTCATTTTAATATTAGAAAGCATATTCATAATCATAGCTTTCCTGATACTAGATATCAACTTTAAAAAAAAAAAAAAAAAAAAAAAAAAAGATTAATTATAAATCCTTACACCAGTCAAACATTCTGGATATTATCAATTCAGAAATTTGGTATTTGGTTACATATAGTTGATAGGCATGATAATTGTATTGTGCCAAAATACTGCTTTAGGAAGAAAGTAAGTACCACAGAATCCAGAATCAATACTAATTTTAAAAGACAATCATCCTCATCAGATTAAAATTGAGCATAAAATTCCATTATCAGTGCACATACATATATCACTATAATATAAATCTGAGCTGTATGTGTAAGAAATTTTCTCAAAATTGTATATTAGACTCAAAAACCATAAACAAAAGAACGCTGAAAAATTTTGTCTAACCAAGAAGCCCCTTTAAAAAAAAAAATCTTATGTTTGATACATTTTGGGGAAGTGGGTCATGTCAAGAACTTTTCAGCACCATTTATACCATTTAATTTGGTCCTATACACTTACAAAGACAAAAATACCATTCAAAAACACAGCAATAAAGAATCCAGTGATCATCTGGAACTTATAATTATGCAAAAGAGCCAAAAAGACAGAAAAAAAACACTTTTTAAACAGATAGGTAAAAATGTTGAAAATGTATTTTCTTTTTTTAAAATTTTATCATATATTGTCTTGAACATAACAGAGCTTAATTGCAGTTAGTTTTAGTTAACAAATTTTCAACATTTTCAGATGAAAATCAAATGAATCTTAGCTATGAAACATTTTCAAGTTCAACTTTTAATTACATTAAAAATATACATTTTGCTTGCCATTACTTTACAAACTTTAACATTTTTTGATTATGAACAACTAGTATGTTCTAATATTCTTTACATAGAAAATGAATGCAGAGAAAATAATTCTTAAAGTATAAAAAGTTACCAAGATAAAAATTGATTAATAGGAACATTTCCATGTAAAATTATTCAAGGTAATTTAACAGAAATGTTTAAATAAAAAAAAATGAGATTTTTATAAAATCTACAATAAAATTTACTAATTTGTTTCTGTATTTAGTCTTGTTTAAAACTTTAATATTTTACCTTTTTAATTTATTTTCTAAAATTTAAATGGTGTTTTTATTATGCTAACAACCATTAATGACAAAGTTTAAAAACATTTTGATTTCAGTAGTCTGGAGCCCTGATGCTCACACATTACCAAAAATTTAAGACCACCTTGTAATTTTACTATTTTAAAGTTAAAAACAACACTGTGACAAGTAATTTATGAGAGACTGACAAGTTTACTCACAAATTTAGAATTGATGTTCTTACTCATTTCAAAACAAAATAGTCCAGTGATCAGCATTTTGTATGACCTTTTTTACTTTTGATGACTGCTTGGATGTGGCAGGACAATCTGAGAATCAAGTTGTTACAGTAGTCAATTGAGATTTCTTTTGTCCAGGCTTCTTTAACTTGTGTGGTTTCTGCAACTCTGTTTTTGACAATTTTCCATGAATTTTCAATTGGTTTCAGATCTGAACTGATCTCTGGCCAGTGACATGAAGCACCATCATGCATAAATATTATACACCGAGAAATGTGTATATGCAGATTCAGTTTCTCCTGCAGTAGTTCCACATACCTTACACCCGTCAACACTGGAGCCAAAAAGTAGAGTCCAGTTGTTCCAGATGTGGACATAGTGCCTCAAATCATCTTGTTTGGTGGGTGCTTCATAATCTGAATTGAATATTTATCAAATCTCTGACAAGGGCGACTTCTAACATTATTTTATACATAAACTGCTGCAGAGTAGCTTTGCACCAGGTTTCATGCTGCTTAGCAAATGTTAGACATTGTAGTTAGCCATTGTTTAAGAGTCGATTTGAATGATTTCAGACCAAACGCAAATCTCAGATGATGTTAAACTGTCATAGAACTGACATTTCTACCATTTTGCAGCAGAGCAGCATATTTCTTAAAAGAATTTGTTGTGGATTGTGTAGCTATGTGCTTCATCTAATGGTTATCTTGACATTGTTTTCCTTAGATGACCACTTCCTTCTTGTTGCTAAACGTCACTGAATGTTGGAAATTCACAATGCTGTGCAAAGCTATTTTGCTACAACCTACTTTATACTAATTTCCAATCTAGAATATCCTGCATCATGTAGGTGAAAGTGAGGATTTTTTGCTCATATTCTAAGGCTATTTACACAAATACTATCACAATGGCTACTAACTGAACAATGACAAAAATTTTCTGACCATAAATCATGTGTGAATAATGGCTGATGCAACAAAAAAAAGCTATTGCATCATGCAATAACATATGATACAAAGAAATGCAAAAATGGAAATAATCTTGTTACAGCTGAGTGGTCTTTAACTTTTTTTTTTTTCAATGACTTTACATACATACATTATATATATATATATATATATATATATATATATATATATAGAGAGAGAGAGAGAGAGACACTATACACAAAATGTTTAAATATTTTTTTCTTTTATTTTAACACTTCCCTGTATGAGTATTCTCAAAACAACTTAAAATAAATTAAAAAAAAAATAATCTAAGGAAAAAATCATTACCCTGAGAAGTTTGCTACTTAAATACTGTGACTAATTTTAATAGTAAATAAGATTTAAAAATAACTATTGGTGAACAAATCAGTGTGATTTGTACATAGAAGACATGTAAAAATTAAAATGCAAATATGGCGACATGCAAAAATTAAAATGCAAATATGATGATTAGATATAGGAAAGTAAAAGTTAGTGAAAAAAAATTAAGCACATATATCCAAAGAAAATAGCAAATAGTCATCATTAAAATTCATTATATATATTATTTGTGTTAAGAAAAATAAATTCAAAAGTTTAAGATATTTAACCAATATGCATTTTAATATTTTCTTTAAATATTATGTAAGCTACAAAAGATGACGTGACTCGATTTGCTTTTTTAATGTCGGTCATATCAACTCCTTGTAGGTCATTTAATTTTCTTGGTGCTTTTAAAAGTAATAAAAATGATACATGTTAATTTGCTTTCACAATGGAATTCAATATAATAATAATATTCAGTTTTGTGCAAAATACATGTTTGTGTGGACAGAATTACTAAGAGGTGGTGATATGTGTGTTTTATGTAGTAGTTTTTTTTGAAGTTATATTTTGGAATACAGTTTTGATTTATTTAAAAAATTGTAGGATATTATACAGACTGACAACATTTCTTTCATTTTAGTTGATGGTTTAAAAGCATATCAACTGCTATGAGTTATTTAATGCTGGAATCTAAATATGTTGAGCACAATTTTATGGCTTCAACTAAATATTTTTTAATGCAATTGTATGCATTCAACTACAGATAAAATATATTGTTGTTGGTAATTTTACTATTAATATTTTTTTTTTTTTTTTTAACTTAAACATATAGCACTGGTATTTTTACTATAAAAATGTATTTTTATATTTTCAGTGTTTTGTTTTTGCTTGGGTGTTCACTATTTGCCTATAGATGGGACCCTAACAGGTGCTAGCACCACGTGTCAGAGTGAACAACACCAATTAAAGGGTGGCTAAACACTCCTTAATACCTCCAGTCTCCTGATCAGAGGGCTTGCTGCTGGATGTAGTTTACCATCATACCCAGGACTGTGATAAAAGTGTGCTTTTTGATTAATGGAATTGAATCATGATATCATAACCAATTCAATAATCCTTCTAGATGATTTATGATGAATAAATTCAATAGTTATGAAATTTTTTTTGAAACTGACAGTATTACATTTTGGGAGAATGTGGCAGTTGCAGTAAATGCATGCCTTTTTATTGTTCCAAGAAAGTGTAGGGTTTTTAAAGAAAAATAATGCAAGTGATGATTATTTATCTATTCACTTATTCTTTTTAAAAAGAAAGTGATTTGGCAAGCTTATTTACTAGCATATTTGCTAACTTATTTATATATTTGGAACAAATGACAGAGCTTGACTGATTTAGGTGTGTGTGTTTTTCAGATACAGCACTCGTAAAACTCAGATTAGTCCTGTGAACTTTTACCTATTTAATCTATTAAATACACACAAGTATTTTTCACATTAACAGTACATATAGTTTATGCATAAACCATTAACTTACTCCTTCCAATTCCAAATCAATACACCACATAACCAAATAGTTTGCTGTTTCTTCACATACAAGGTTACTATTTTCTCTAAGAAACTCTTTGCTGTCTTCACTTTTCTTTAGCATTCCAAAATGTCGCAATTCTTTTCGGTATTTCTTGTTGAACTGCTCCTGCAAAAGAATTTTTCTTTTACATGAAACGTTTAAAAGGAGTCTACAATAAATATAAAATAGATAATGACTTTCTTACACAAATAAGATTATCTATTATTATAATATTATTATGTAGATGGAGGGAAAATGATGTAGACTAGAGTCAAACATTTTAATTTTGTCTACTTCAGTTAAAGTTCAAACCATTCCATCATTCATATGGACAAATTTTTAAGTTACAAACAAAATCCTATTTATTTTTTTACTTCCAGAATCTAAATGCTAAGATTCTTTTTTCTGCAATTCAACATTGTTTCATCCCAAATTCTCGCAATTATTTATTCAGGCTTATTTGGATAATGTGTGGAATTTAGCTGAAACAAAAATCAACACTGAAATATTCTGATAACATTTCAGTGCATTATTTTTAAAAATTGACTAGTTTTTAGTATTTGTTTTATTTTTTCTGTTGAAACTTTTACATTTTTATTCTATCCATCCCGTGACCACTATCCATCAGAAAATGCATCTCTCCAAATTTGGAGGTATAATTAATTATCCAGAGCCAGATAACAAAGAGACACTTGGTGGGGATAGAGAAATCACAGAGTCTCCATATCAACTCCCATACCAGTTTCAGTTGGAAGTCAATATAAGCAGAATACCGAGATGACCAAGAGACAGAGGTTCCAGACATTTTATACAAACCCAACCTCCTGTTTCTGTCTGAAACAGGTATCAATGCTTCAATCCCACTACAGGAACTCACAATCTCGGGCTACTAACCTCTAATAGCCAAATATGACCACCTAAATAACCACAGACATGGACTCAGTGTATCCGTCAAGGATGGATTTCCCTGTAGCAGAGATGCAAAAAACAAGGATCCTGATCTCCTATATGTGCTTCTGTGTGGCATATATCCATAGTACTACATTCATTTTCACTCTGTATTGTTGCCGGGATGATGAGCCAGTAATCTTCAATCGAATTTCCCTCAGCTTTCATATATGTGGTCACTTCAATATCCAACACCAAGTGTGGTTAGTCTACTTGAACAAAACCGATGAAAAAGGCAGATATTGCAGATATAAAGTAGCACAGATTATCAAAGAACTCACCCACATCCCTGAGGCAACAGGACATTAGGCAAACATCCTTGATCACTTCCTCACAACCTGCCCTGATAAATGCTTGATAAATGTTTTACCCTACCTGGGCACATCAGGCCATTCCCTAGTCAGTGTCCAGATTGATGCCAAACCAAAGGCATCCCCTGATTTGCCATTCCACAAAAATATTTTGCTATATGAAGGCAGACTGGAACAGCTTTTGATCTTATATAGTGGAAGCTCCCCTCACATCCTTCAAGCATGCTGCCTCCAAAACTGCTGCCCTCATATCTGAATGGATCCTTTCTGGAGTGGAGAGTTTATACCTCAAAAAATTCCAACAAAAAACCAACCAGCCAGCCCTAGTTTACCCCTGAATGTGCTGCAGTCATGGCTCACTGTAATCTCTTCTTCAATATCTATCACAAGGAGCAGTGTAGTTTGACTTCAGAACCACCCACAATCACTGCAAGAAAGTTCTGAAAAATGCAAAGTGTAGCTATACACAAGCGGTTCAGTCCAAGGTTGAAAAGAAATTAATTGAATCCTGTGAATTCTGGAAGATCATCAACCAGATTATGAACAGAGCAAAGCAGCTATGTCTACTATTATAACTAGCCCTGATGTCATATCTTCTTGGACAGATAAAACAATGCTCTTCATCTCAAATTCAACGTTATATGACAACGGTCATCAATTTGCCAACTTCCCAGGTCTCACAGAGTACAATCTCAGTAATATTTTCATCACAATATGTGTAGTCTCAAGACTTATCAAAAGCCTTGACCCTAAGAAAGCCACTGGCCCGGACAAAATAACCAGTAATTGTCCTTAAGAATATCAATCTGGAATTATCCCCAATCCTAGCGAAGTTATTCAAACACTGCTTGAAGGAGAAATCCCTCCCGAACCTGTGGAACGTGTCAAGTGAATGCCCAGTTTTCAAGAATGTGGACAAGCACTCATCCGCTTCTCAGTATAAATTCATCAATCTCCTCAGTATCATTAGCAAGCTTTTTGAGGCTATAATCAACAAGATTGTTGAGTACCTAGATAAGAACAGCCTCTCAAATGGCAAGCAGTACAGGTTTCAATCAGCCTGATGCACTGAGGATGCCCTAACTAACATTATTCACAAAATTAGTGAAGATCTTGATGACAAATACACATCAAGGACCATAGCATTGTATATTTTGAAGGCCTTTAACAAAATGTGATACAAAAGTTTGCTGCTCAAGTTCTCCAGCTATGGAATCACTAGATGGGTCTTCAATTATAAAATCCTTCCTAGTGGGCAGATCCATGAAGGTAGTTGCTAATGGCCAGTCCTTCAGAACCCTAGCAATCATTTGTGAATATCTATGTTCATGATATGACAAGATATGGGAGCACCTCCAAAACTTGTCATGATCAGAGATTGGCAAGCTGATCTATCATCAAATCTTGAAAACCAAACTAGTGACATTCCGTCATTGCCAACTGGGCCCCAATCTACCACCAGTCACAATGAATGGATGCCCCATTGCCATATCATCAGCACTTTCCAGTCTCAATAGAGTCCAAAAGTGTCTCAGAGTCCTTGTGGGTGACAAATTATTTTCTACCCTTCAACCTCTCTCTCTCACAGGCAGGATGTGGCAAGCCTCTCACTGCTCTATCACTACTTCCATGGATAGTGCTTGGACTAACTGCATTTCTTGGTTCCTCCAGTTAGAATCTTCACGGCCTGGATGTGCCATCCCACACATTAGTAAACCACCCACACTCCATCTGTATTCCACTTGAACAGCTTCTTCCCACAAACCACTGCACTGTGGAACAAACTCTCAAGAAGTTTCCTGATCACTACAATCTTAACCTGTTCAAGTCTAAACTGTTATTTTCCCCTATCTAAATAAACTGCCACTTACTGTAACCCTCTACCTTGAGTAGCCTTATACAGGGTGAAACCCATCAAAAAAAATAATACAAGTAAACAATAATTGACAAAGTTTTATCTAAGAAATTTGAAAACAACTTTTTAGTGTTTTGTCTCCAATTGAACATATGTAAAATGTTTTAATAATTATAAAATCCAAAATATAAACAGTGTAATGAAAACCACTACCAAATAGAAGGAGCAATAATAGAATAGTTAATAGTTTTTTTCTTCTTAATAAAATATATTTTTAAATTGATTATTTAAGCAATTAAAAAGTTAAATTATTATTTTTACAATTTTTTAAATTATTACCCATTAAATTAGTTACATAAGGTAATTCTAATTTTTAACAAATAAAATTATTTTATGGAAATATAAAGTAAACTTAAAAAAAACATTTTTAAAGTAGTCATATGTGGTTAATAAAAATGTAGATATTTGGCAACAATGATTTAACTTTAAATAAAATGCTTAAAACACAAATTAATATACTGACCTCAATAACTTCAATTAGCTTTTCTTAAAGAGGGATAAGGAACAAATAAAAAAAAGTAAGATCATTTTAAAAAATTCTTTTGAAAATAAAAATTTGTATAAATTTATTTTGATGAGTGAACAGTGAGAAACTTTTATTGGAAAAAAATTTACTATTACATAGGTGCTGAAAAAAAAAAAAAAATTAAAAAAAAGAAAAAAAATTAAAAAAAGAAAAAGTTTAAAAAAAGAAAAAATTAAAAAAAAAAAATTAAAAAAAAGAAAAAGGATTAAAAGTAATTTAAAATTTAGAATTCCCAACATCTGTCATTCATATACAGTCACACCAACATAAACAAATTTAGTTGGATCAAGTCCTAAAGGATGAAATGCATCACACGAAAACTCCCCCCACCAATTCTGTTATACATTTTTCCCATATATATTTATTGCTCATTGAGTGCTCGTCTTAATAAAATAGTGTTCAATGTAATATAAACAGACCTATAAATTATATATTAATTCATGCACTGAACTGAGATTGATTTACATAATTAAAATATATCTGGTTATCATAAGGGTGGGGTGGTCCATATTTTATATGGGGATTGTTGTTTAAAAAAACATTTTGCATGTAAAATAAACAAATATAATGAAAAAGGTAATAACACACACATCCACATAATACAGAGTTATTCAATATCATGGTACATATATATATATATATATATAGGCATTATCTCAAAGAATATAATTAAAAAATAACCGACAATTTACTAATCACAACCAGTACTAACCTTTGGGAGGATTCGTCTGAATGGCTCACTAATATGAGGAATAAGGATAAAGCGACGTTCATTAAGTTTGACATAATTGACTTCTATTCCTCTATCACTAGGGGCCTCCTGGTCATCTTTGCAAAGAACTATATAGAAATAACAGATGAAACTAATAATCTTAATGGCAACAAAGTCACTGCTAACACTGAATAATTCCACCTGGACTAAGCACCACAATGACAAATTCGATGTCCCCCATGGGAGTGTATGACTCAGCCCAAGTTGCAGACCTAGTATGTTTTTTTACATTTTAGATGTGCTTAGTAGAATCATAAAACTGGAACTAATAGGACTGTATCGGCATGACAGACTCATCCTTATCTCTGATTGAAAAGGGTCCACTAACAGCGAAATTACAAAAGAAAATTATCAGGGCTTTCAAATTCCTAGGGTTTAAGATTGAGATTTCCTCTAACCTTAAAATAGTTAACTACCTAGATATCACCTTTAACCTTAATGATGAAACCTTTAAACCTTACCATAAAGAGAATGAAACCCCCAACTATATTAATATCTGTTCTGTAATGTAATCCTAAGACAAATTTGCACCAGGATTAGTAAACTATCGTCCAATGAAAAAATCTTTAATAATAAAGAACTATAAGAAAAGGCCCTCCAAAAAAGTGGTTTCAAAAGTAAACTGTCTTATGCAACCACTATCAGTAATACCCA